ACCCCCCCCTTTCCGCAATTTCCTTCGCAGCATAACTGACAACAGCAACAGCAATAAAGGCAATGATACCAAAGAGAATGATAACGGGAGAGAAGTAGAAAGGGAGAGGGAGGACAACAACGATGACCAGAACAACGATGATATAGACAAGGAGAGGAGGATGAGAAGTTAGGGGACGGGGAAGGGGGGAGACTAGAGTGGGAAAGAAAGTGTACTGTGGTAAAGAGCGCTACAGAACCGTTTTAATACTTCGGTACCAACAAATCGACCTGACTTTGGTATAGATCACAGGCTGACTTAAAGACGAAGACTGTCATCAACAAACATCAAAACTAAAGAACTTACCACCGTTGACGATATAGCCAAGTCCAAGAAAAAGCAAGACGCCCAAACTCCACCTCATGTTGTGAATTTCGTAAAAATCCATGTGCCTTAGAATGAATCACATTGGAGGACGCGATTCTGTGAGCGAATAGAGTGCAATCTATTGTTTACAGCAACTTCACGTCTGTGGTGCAACCCCCGTACACTGGAATCACTTACATCAAACTACAAAATAAGACACTTTAAACCACTGCGCTCAGCTCGAAGTTACTCCGAGAAAAGTCGTTTCTTTGTACCAGCACAGCTGTGCTTGTCTGAAACTCAACAGCTGCAATAGTTTTACATAGAAGAGATGGGGGGAAAAGCGCAAAAACACCAACACGAAATCACCGACCACCGCTCTGTTCTCGAGTTACTTTTTTTAAAAACCCAAAGAGAAGTTCACAAATCGACGCTTTCACCCGCGTCTGTTACAGTCAACTTCTTTACGTTCGTTTTCCGTCGAGTCCGTTTTTGTCCTCTTCTCTTCACATCGAATGCGTGCACATCTCAGTCACGACAGGGGAGTAGACAGTCAGCCCCACCATGAGCTTTCGATTCAATATATCCGCTCCAAAGTTGTGAGTGGAAGAGTAGGCTAGAGCGCCGGGCGAACCCGCGAGCGAGAGGTGCGCGTGAAGCCGTAGTGACGTCACTTCATCAAGGCAAGTCAGAAGCGAGAACCACGCACAGGCTTAGTCACGCAGTTAGGAGTAGACACAGAAAGTGAGGTGAGGTTTACGCGACTTCACTAGTCCGTACCATAAATGTCAAATTTCACAAGGAACTTTCTTAAAGAGTATAATTATAATGTAACCGATGACTCTTAACTGGTTCATATAAGACTAACAGACAGTTTTCTTACTTTCGCTTTAATATTCGGCTGATTTCTTTTTATTTCCTTTGAAATAAGAGAGCACATCAACAAAGGATTTTGTGATTGAAATATGTAAATCATACAGACAGATACAAAAAAGTAGTATTTGAAATAATATTAGTATTAGTAGACAGATAAAAGAAAAATGCTATAGTTGTCCAATTAACTCGTTCCGGGAAACAAAAGCAGGTCGACACACTATTGTCATAATGAGCAAGGAACAGTGTGGATAAACAGATAGAAACGACAGAAAGAGAGTAAAAAATTAAAACTGGGAGATGGGACTCGTCAGCCTCCCTTAGGAACAGATTTTTTAAAAAGCTATTGGAAATGGGTACGCCTAGTAGACCACATTACCCCCT